ATGACTAAATTAGTATTCATATCTAAGAAAAGATTATAGGTGCGTAAAAATGATGTCTAGTGTTCATTGTAAACAGAAATATGTTGAAAAATGAGGAAGAAACAAATTTAGGATGCGGTTTTCTAAACGAGTGAGTCTGAATCGAACGAAGGATCTTAGTTTTCTTTTCTTTTTAATTAAATATTTTATTTCGTTTATGGCATATTAGCGTTTTCACCTTTCACTTTGTTTGATGCTTTGGAGTCTACCAATTGCACTAGTCTTATACGATAAGTGTGCGCTTCACATTTTTTTGTTGGCACTGGTAACAGAGAAAATGTACCGTGACATATTTTTGATATATAGTCTGTATTGACATAATAATAAATCTAAGTTTCGTATTAGAAAAAATAAAGAAACAAACTTGCTCGATCATCAAGATTCGTGCATGTCAATCATTTGCAACATATGGATGAAGAACAACTTCGGTTTGTGCTCATTGTTTTCCGTATTTTTATGCAATCGATATTCTGTTCTTTCTAGAGATGATTTTCTTTTATTCATATCAAGGGGGAAGTAACTGATTTCGTGATGTCAAATTAGTGGTTTGATTTCAGATGATTTCGGGTGATTTCGAGTGATGTCAAACGATTTCAAGTGATTTCAAAGGATTTCGATTGATTTCGGGCGAAATCGAAATTAATTGAAACCAGTTTCAAGACAGGTTAAAATCATTCGAAATCGCTCGAAATGAACTAAAAATCATGCGGAATCATATGACATTACTTAGCGGTGTACAAAAGCTGGCAATGACCGGCAGGGAGACTCACCGAGACCGAGGCTGAAAGTTTTGACCTCCGTGCATCCTTGAAATCAGTTGAAATTGCTTGAAATCACCAGAAATCCACGAAATCATTTGAAACCAGTTTTTTCCTCTTTAGTGACTTGGTCAAATTGCAGGTGATTTTCAAATGATTTCAAGTGATTTCAGATGATTTCAACTGATTTCAATGATTTCAAGTTGATTTCCGCATTTGAAATCAGTTTCTTCTCCCTTGATTCATATAGACAAATTCATTCAGTAACTGTTGTATCATTGAATAAATGAATTATTAACACAGGAAACATTTAACTGTTAAATCGGGTAAATATTTATCTATACCTATATTCAGCTTTTTCATTTGTTCGTTATGTTTTCATCTTATGACGACATATGAAGACAAATACAATATCTCTGTAGTGTGGGTGTGGGTGTGACTCTTCACTTTACTCACACCCTCAGTTCTGTAATTGTTATCGTTCTTTTGATCGATCTTTTTGAACTTTTCTCATTGCCAAAATGATAGATCTGACATTGTATTACGATGGATATAGATAGATTTACATATATAGATTTATTTGAGATTTTTCAGATATAAAAGTTCTTATAGTGATCATTTCGCTTCTCTAAGAGAAAATTGTCTGATGTTTTCCTTTTCTAGCCAAATTTACAAAAATGTTCGTGTTTTTCAGTGGATTTCATGGGAAAATC